AAAAAGCTAATAGCATGTTCGATTGGCTCTGGATTAACCCACTCTGGATTATTCAGCCTACGTTTATTGGTCGAACAAATAAGCTTTATGATTGGCTAGTAAAGACTTATGACGTCAATAATCGCTCTCGGAGCGATTAACCCAGAGTCAGTCGAACACGCTATAAGGACATAAAATACCTAGTATTTTACATGTCTAAAACTATGTAATTTACATTAAGTATTTTACTTGTGTTGCGTTCCAGCCGGCCGTGGCTGCGCGAATATAATGCAGTGCTCGGGCCGTGCTGCCGGAATCGGATCGCTTTCTTTTCGGGTTAATTCGAATCTGCGCGATTCTTCCCCGGGGATCCACGCGATCCTAGATTCGCCAAATTATACCGCGGAATAAACTTCGAGCGGATACATGCCCGCTGTTACGCACGGGTTATGGCTCCTGCATACAGGACGCGGTAATGCTTGCCGCGCGGCGGAAGTCAGCGCGACAGCCAATCAATATGTTGTTTTTCCGTAAGAGCTAGAAGGTTATTACGGAAAGCAGCATATTGATTGGCTGTCGCGCGAACTTCCGCCGCGCGGCAAGCATTACCGCGTCCTGTGTGCAGAAGCCATTAAAGAAAGTAGTGCCGTTGGTGGCAAATAAAGTTCTAACTTATCGGCTTCTGCGCCCAGTTGTCTAGAGTGTCGCCCTTGCGGTTTGCGTGCGAGTCCTGCGCCAGAACTCCTCGTAGTGGTGTGGTCAAGAACCCCCTTTGCACGAGGTTGAGGACGGCAACTTTTGATGACGATTTTAATCAAAGGCTGCTTGTCACAATTTTCGGCACAAATTGCGCGTTTAATATCGGAGTGTCGAGTCACGGCCCGGTTTAAGAACGTAGGAACTTTATTAACCCGTGTCCTCGAGGTGGTGGTTCAAACACAATTAAGAAGGATATAAAACAAGAGGCCTTGTTCGGGGAATCAAGAAGTTAAGAATTGATTTTGTATAATAATTATATATTTTAGTATTAAGATGAACAAAGATCTAATTCTAAAAGAAATGTTCTACACTACTCTAGAATGGGAGTTTATAATTATCAGCGTAAAAATTATGCAATCTAATTGTTCCAAATCTTACGAGATTCTTGAGAATGGAGTTAGAATTATAGTTTAGGAGTTCTCCGGCCGATACTGGAAACTTGAGGGATGAAAATGACTTGAGGGATGAAGGGATGTTCCAGTGCTTACGCGACTCTCTATACTACTCTACGACTCATGACCTTCGAGTCCGACTCCCAATTCTAAACTACCCCTCTCTCCTACTCTTCTCTCCAGATTTCCTCTAGTGAGGTAAGGATTCTGACTTGGCGAAAAGGCCATCTACTTACATCCCTCGAGACGGCTTAGGGCCTGAGCACAGACTTTTGCATAACGCATAATGCATAACACATAAGGAAATCAATCAATCAGAGTCATTCATTTCTATCCTGAAGAGGAAAATAAAGGTCTCTGATTGATTGATTCCCTTATGCGTTATGCGTTATACGTTATGCAAAAGTCTGTGCTACCAGCCTTAAGTTTGGCCTGTAGGCCTATTCTCTAACTTTCTTCTAACGACAACGTCGTTATCGTTATGTAGCGACGATCGTCGCTTACGCTAACGACGTTGTAACGAAAAAGCTATTCTGTAATTCAAACTAGCGATACCGTATCGATACAAAATGTGATGCCGACGTCGTTACCGAAACGAGTATATTCAGTTCAATATAACTTCACTGCTGCAGTATTTAGCCAATCAAATCTCTTTTCCTTGTATATCTTTTTCAGTGAGTTTAGGAGCAGTAAATACAAATATTGGTTGTGTCAACAATTATATGTGACAGTTAACCAAAATATGTCAAAATAAGTATATGTAAAATAAATAATACACAAGAAGATTAAATCAAACATTAATTTGGCATCAACTATATGAGCTTATATTAAAATCGTAATTTGTCATCAAAGTATATCGACATAATCTAATAAAACGTGATACACAAGTATCACAATGAAAAAATGTAATTGTATATATAATATTAATCTTCGAAACATACATAACATTTTTTTTAATATAATGTTTGCAGATCATGTTTTAGATTATATTCATACATGTGTTAGCAAAATACTTATTATACATGTGGACCAATACCGTTAATATCAAATAGATGTCATATATTTGTATGTGTGTGTGTGTATATATATAATAACTGTATGTTTAATCAATATATAAAAGATTGAAAATATATATGAGGTGTGGCTATTAAATAACGAGACTGACGCTGTAAAACATTTTATTTTGATTTCATACATTTTTACTTATTATCACCTTCAATATACACCCCTCCTCTATCCCTACAACGCTCCATGCGAATCTTCCATTGTTCGAAGCAGTGCTGGAAGTCTTCTTCTGTCAGCTCCTTCAGGACGCGTGCCGCTTTCTCTTTCACAGCTTCAACGGACTCAAATCTTGTTCCTTTTAAGGCAGATTTTACCTTAGGAAACAGATAGAAGTCGCACGGCGCAAGATCTGGCGAATAAGGCGGATGGTCTAACACTGGGATGCTGAGAAGAGAGCGGTGCACTTGGACACGGTGCATTTGGACACAGCCAATCACAGTACCGTGTGATTAGAGACATTTGTAGGGTCCCTTGGAACAGCGACTTGTGATTGGACTGTGTCCAATTGCCCCGTGTCCAACTGATATACACCCTGGCTAGAAACCTCTTGACAGACGGGAGCGGTGCACTTGGACACGATGCATTTGGACACAGCCAATCACAGCACCGTGTGATTAGAGACATTTGTAGGGTCCCTTGGAACAGCGACTTGTGATTGGACTGTGTCCAATTGCCCCGTGTCCAACTGATATACACCCTGGCTAGAAACCTCTTGACAGACGGGAGCGGTGCACTTGGACACGATGCATTTGGACACAGCCAATCACAGCACCGTGTGATTAGAGACATTTGTAGGGTCCCTTGGAACAGCGACTTGTGATTGGACTGTGTCCAATTGCCCCGTGTCCAACTGATATACACCCTGGCTAGAAACCTCTTGACAGACGGGAGCGGTGCACTTGGACACGATGCATTTGGACACAGCCAATCACAGCACCGTGTGATTAGAGACATTTGTAGGGTCCCTTGGAACAGCGACTTGTGATTGGACTGTGTCCAATTGCCCCGTGTCCAACTGATATACACCCCATTTTTATAGTCATTTGGAATACATAAATCTATAACAATATTCTGATTGGTTCTTCAGCTTAAGTTTACGTATTATAGTTACGGTTACGGCAATTTGCGTGCGAAGGCCTTTATTCACTCATTACCTATCTACGCAAGTGGTGAAAGGCCTACTCCCAAAGGCCAAGTAAGGGCTATCGCACACAAATTGACATAACTGCATATGCATAGCATAAGATCGTATGGACCAATGAGCATCAAATATTAAGCATCGAACACCAATATGGCGACTTAATACTCGATGCTCATTGGTACATACGGTCTTATACTATGCATATGCAGTTATGTCAATTTGTGTGCGATAGCCCTAAGAAATCCGATCCGGCGTTCCGATCCGTGCTCAATGGGACGGCACCCTTAGGGTGCCGGATCGGATCGGATTTCTTACTATAATGAGCGTTCCGTTCTCTAGTTCCGTTCCGTAAAAGTTTCCTCTACCAGTCCCATGTAGCAAAAATGGAACGGATTTCTAGTTATAAAATATATTTCACTCTTTAATTAAATATTTCAGAATATTCATGACAATGTTACCGGCAAGATAATTGCATAAATTATGTATATAATTAATTCTGTCGCGTCAAAATAACGAAATATTGACGAATTAATCATATTTATTTGGGGAGTGGTGCACTTGGACACGGTGCATTTGGACACAGCCAATCACAGCACCGTGTGATTAGAGACATTTGTAGGGTCCCTTGGAACAACGACTTGTGATTGGACTGTGTCCAATTGCCCCGTGTCTAACTGATATACACCCATTTATTTGCGACCGACGCGCCATTCCGTTCCGTTTTTGCTACATGGGACTGGTAGAGGAAACTTTTACGGAACGGAACTAGAGAACGGAATGCTCATTATAGTAAGAAATCCGATCCGGCGTTCCGATCCGTGCTCAATGGGACGGCACCCTAAGGCTGACGGTCTTTTATAGTACTTCGTCAGTAGTATAGGTTGAGTTCACTGATTTGAAATGATTTGAGCCGTGACCTCCGCGCATGCGTGAAAACATATCCCGCCTTACAAAAGTGCACTGTGGTGCACTGTATATATTTAATATGGAACAAGCATTGCGTGCACGCAGTTGGCCGATGTGTTTGGCTATTCGCGAAAATCTACTACCGTCTGCTATTCCACACATTGCCATTTCAATTGAAGATATTCAACGATACGTTTCCCTACCTGATTACGAGGAAAACTGCATCAAATCCGTGCAAACTATCGGTGAAATTTTACCTGGTTCAGCGCGACTCGCTCGACTTCGTAATATCTCGTCCGATAGTGATGTAGAAGTCACCCTTAGCTTGGAGAAACTTCCAGTGGCCGATATATATATTAAGGACGAGAAGGGAAGATATTTACCTATATGGGTAAAATACTATCTTTATCAATCAGTGAAGTACCACCGTATCCTTTCTGACACAAAAGTTTAACTTTATACTTAACACTGTTTAATGAGTTTTGTTTTCTATATTACAATGATATTTCCATTATCACAGACATATAATGATAAAATATGTAATATGATCAAACTCTCTTATCACCTCTACATCATGTGTATAGTATAATTATCTTTTTAAAGGTCACTGAAAATATCTGGTATTATTAAAAGGTCAAATGTTAGACACCCTTATAGTAAATATATTAAGCATAATTGTATACTATACTGATAAATATAAATGATGTAGTTTTTGATATTTTGTACATGGATTTTTATAATATTTTCTTTACAGGAAAGATTTCGTGTTTTTAAAGTTTTTGGAACACTAAAACAGAAGGAAAATGAAGTTTTGCTGATAGCTCATAAATTGTTGGAAGTTAAAGATATACCGGGTAGTCTGAATGTACTATCATTGTTATCTGCAGCAGTACGTCCTATGCATTATCAGTAAGTTTTCAATTTAGTGTTTAAAATTAATATATTTAATAAAACATAAGTCCATGAGTAACAATAATAATATAGATATAGAGATTCAAGTTTTAATTAAGTATTTTGAGTGTTAATCTTAGATAATTGAACAATAAGTTATATTTTTTACAGATACAAACAGCTCAAATAATACAAAATTATAGAAAAATCTCCATTCTTTCTCTTTTTTTCTCTGTGTCAACTGTGAATGTTAAGAATTGCTTCTACCATTCTGATTAACTTCTTATCTAAACAAAACATGAGTATATTTATGCAGTGTTTAAATCCTCTTACTGGCATTGCTACATGGGAAGAAAAGGATCAATACTATGATTATCATCAGGAAGTAGCTAGATCTGCATTTGCAGACATGCTACATGATCATGAGCGAGTTAATATTTTCTTGTTTTCTATTATTACTTTGCATTCCTAATTAACTAACTATTAATATTATATATTCTTTGACAGAATGAGAAGTATTATATTGCTCTACAAGTAGCTATCAAAAAGAAGCATCAAGCAGGAGAAGAGGCTAATGTGTTAGACATAGGCACTGGTACAGGATTGCTATCAATGATGGCAGTCAAATGTGGCGCTGACACAGTAACTGCATGTGAGGTACGAAAAGCCCTTTAATTTTTTAAAAATTTTTTTCTAATGTTCTGCATTTACAAATAAGAATTTTCTAGGCATTTACACCAATGGCCAATTGTGCTGTGAGGATAATCAAGGAGAACGGTTTTGAGGACAAAATCAAATTGATCCGCAAACGCTCTACGAAAATGACGATCGGAAAGAATGGTGACATGCCAAAGCGAGCAAATATTCTAGTTACCGAGGTATTCGACACGGAATTAATCGGCGAAGGAGCTCTGTCAACATTTCGACATGCTCACGAAGTTCTTCTCGAGGTAATGCAAAACAATAGTGTTTTATTTTTTTAAACAAAGATAAAGAAATTCTGTGAAAGACAATATATAAATCAACGATAAGTGAAAACCAACGCAAAGCCAAAAACATTCGGCTAAGCATTAACACAGATTAGATTATTCTAGAGATGAAAACAAACAAAAAAGTTTAGTAAACATGGATCCAAAAAACAATCATTAACGAGTTATATTAATTTAGGCTTATAAGCATATAACTTAACATAATTTCATTGAAATACAACATAATTGCAAAGAATTTAGCATCGAACGTTAAGTTACTCAAAGTGATTACCTCCAAAAGTGATACATGCTTCAACATGCTTTCTCACAAGGGAACGTTCCATATTGCAAAAGTAATATAAAAAAACTAACGTTACCAATCGAAAGATCACGTTTGAAATAAGTATTTTAGGTGGTCAAATCTTGGGATCCTATGGATTCTGTACCCCACTTGGGCCGGAAGTCTAGCCATTTTGACATAAACACCAAAATATCTCAAAAGCAATCTATTTTTGAAAAAATATTTCAAATAAAAGTTGGAGGAGGTTTAGCGAAAATTATCAGAATAAAATTTTCTTATTTTTTTTTTTCCATAGAATATGTATCTGCAATAAAACATAGGTATTTCCAACGAAAAAATTTAATTGGGCCCTGTAAATTATATGAACCTAAAATTTAAGTAACTCATCTGATGGCCTTCTTCAAACTTTACAACTTTTATTTGAAACATTTTTTTCAGAAATATATTGCTTTCGAGATATTTTGGTGTTTATGTTAAAATGGCTAGACATGTTCCGGCTCAAGTGGGATACAGAATCCATAGACAGATCCCAAGATTTGACCGCCTAGAATACCTATTTCAAACGTGATCTTTCGACTGGTAACGTTAGTTTTTTTTATATCACTTTTGCAATATGGAACGTTCCCTTGTCAGTCGAAAATAATAAGAAAGTTCTATATGATATCAAACGAATTTATAGTATGGTTCTATATTTTATCAATATTTTGGTGAAATATCATGTGACTGTCTCATTTATCATCCAATGGCAATAGTGATATCCATTGCATATATTTATTACAATGCTTATTGTGTAATATTTGATTTGTACATACACTCTGACAATACGATTTGCGTCTTTGACGCTTTTGTCTTTGATTTATGTGTCTTATTTTTATGATATCCTACTAGTTCATACATACACTCACGTTCTGCTTTTTTTATTAGGACAATAGCATTGTCGTGCCATGCAGTGGGACAATATGGGCGCAGGTAGTCGAGAGCCCTAGAGTCTGCGCTTGGAATCGAGTGAAGCCTATTCGAGACGGAAAAGATACGTTAGTGAACGCTCCGCCGGCTATTCAGGCATGCTCTGGCGCAGCAGCAGTGCACGATATGCAGCTGTCTCGTATTCCTCGTGACGCTTTTGTACCATTACTGACACCACAACCCATCTTCAGGTGAATATTTCTTTTTATACTCCCGTCCCTTTAAGGATGCAATATTGCCTTTTGAGATAGAATTAACAAGTGTCGTTATATAGTGAATGGCAAGTACAGGCCAAGTTCTTATATTAATTTCTCTTCCATGAAAACTTCAGGTTTGACTGGTCTGGCAAAGAACCTCTGTTGTACAACGAAAAAGTATCGTTACGCGCACAACCGATAACTACTGGAATCGCGCATGCTATTTTCATGTGGTGGGACTTGAATATGGATATGGATAATCAAGTAATTGCTGCAATGCTCGTTTTCGCATATCACTTCTTTTTTTCACTTTATTCGTGTGTTTGTAGTTTTTGTACTTTTCTGTGTAAATATTATCAATATTGTCCTTATAAGATTCTGCTAAGTTGTGCACCTGTGTGGGAGCATCCAGACGTTCCTGATAAGGTAAAGGAAGATAATGAACGTTTACAAGAGATGGCGAACTTAATACCTTGGAGAGATCACTGGATGCAAGCTGTATATTATCTTCCGGAAGAAGTGCCGATTACATACGGTACTGAAGTGAACCTCGTGGGATATCACGACGAATACTCTTTCTGGTTTAAATTACTGAACGGATCAATGTAAGTTTCTATTTCTTCCTTAATACCTTACAATTATCTTTGGATTTTATAATTTATATATATCATAATTGATATACTTCTCTTATATTTTCATGTGTTACATTGCTATTGTTCATCCTATCTTTTTTACTTGTGATCTCTAGAGTTTGAAAAGTCACTCTGTAAAAATAATTTGTTAACGTTACTGAAAAAGTAGCATTAAAATAAAAGTACCAATTCCCGGACATGTACCTAATCCTGAATATTCTTATTGTTTTGGTCTTTAAATATGAATATTTAAATTTTTAAAACATAGTATATGTATATGCATATATTCAAAATATATATATCTTTTATGTTAAAAGTTCAAGTATTTGTATTAAAAAATTTCAAAATAATAAGAATATCCACCATTAGATGCGAGTATTGGTACTTTATCTAACTGATTTGTTATAAAGAAAGTATCTTATAACTCGGTAATAATTTTGCAAGTAAAAATATTACTTTTTCTACTCTAATAATCTACTTCGAAATAAGCGTATTTTTCATTTGATATTAATTAAAAATAAAATTATTATCGCAGAGAAAAGATTCCAGAATGCCCGAGACCTGTATGTAACTGTTGTGCGCATGTTGCATACTCGCGGACGCGTATCGGTCAATTGAATGACACAGATCGCAATAAAAAGTACATACGAGCTCTGCGAAAAAGAATCACTGCAAACAGCGTCTGCCTCTGTCTTTCGGACGGTTGTTTATTAGCGCTCGCGGCTGCAAAACTGGGCGCGAAGGTATTTCTGCTGGAACAGAATTTTTTGTCGCGCAAAACCACGGAGATGTTCCTAGAAGCAAACGGTCTCACTGATCGGGTGAAAATCGTCGAGTCGATTGACGATTTACCGGAGGCTCGTGAGATCAATTTTATTTTCGGCGAACCGTACTTTTTAAACTCCATAGTGCCCTGGGAGAATTTACGATTCTGGTACCTCGCCTCTAGATATCCGTCGAGCATCGCACGGATGCCAATTGTAGCAACAATTAAAGCTGTCGCTGTTGAATTCAAAGATTTGCAGAAGATAAGAGCACCCCTTGGCGTCTGCGAAGGTTTCGACTTGTCTTGCTTCGACACACTTGTGCAAGTTTGTAGCTTTATTACTTTTCTCTCGATATTATGGAGTTTTGTATTAAAATAATATATTGTATCTGCTTTTAGGCGTCCAGTGATAAAAGCGACAATCCCATAGAAGCGCATCCACTCTGGGAATATCCTTGCAAAGCATTATCTTCAACCTTTAATATCATAGAGCTTGATCTCACGCGTAATGTAAATTTTGACGAGCGTATTCAAGTATCGGGCGATGTCCCGTTTTTAGAGTAAGTCTCTTTTATTCAGTTCTTTTGAATTTCGATGACAAGAAAAACTGTCGAAATAACTAGAAATATATTGATCTAGATATTTTCGTTGAAGTATACGTTGATACTGTTTGTTTTGCAGCAACGGCTCCTGTAATGGTGTTGTTTTATGGGTAGATTGGCAATTGGACACGGAGATTTCTGTGTCCAGCGGTCCGATGGAGGAAGTGGTGCCTGGCAGACGTGTGTCATGGGATCCATTTACGAGACAAGGAGTGCACTTATTCCGTAAAATTTGTGATGTAACTAAAGGAAACGTGCTTTCTTGGTCATTTACTTTTATCCCGCAACACGGCGAAGTCGAATTCAACTTTAATTATTAGGAAATGTCATATATAAAAAGTAAAGCGGTAAAATTGTAAAAAAATCAAAATTTGACCGATGTTAGGATTATAGGATACGTTTGAAGCATTAATGATGTTCTTACATATTGAAATATATTGAAATTTATTCTAAGTATAAATAAAAAGAATTTATTGCGAGTCCAACATTTTACTCGATGGTTATTTTTCCGTATATCACATTAAGAGCTCCTTATAAATCGTCAGATACGCTTGAAAGTCAATGTTATGACGTACTGTCTGGTAATATACGTAACTGTTTGGCAAGTCTCTTGCCAATTAATTTTGGGTAAGCTTTTTGTTTAATAAGAAATTCCTTACTCTGATGTGTTACCGCGCCATTTTCCAACTGAAACCTAGAAACAAAAATTGTCATTAAGATAATAATTATAACTCATTCTATAGAAAAAAGATGTTCACAATTGTAAGAATATAAGGAATTTATGCACTCACCTACACAGATAATGCAACGGACCTAACATTTTTTCTCTTAGTTCAGGATCGCTTTCTAGAATCGAAAGTGCACTCGCACCTGTTTCTAGTGTTGAGAGGCAGCCTTCTGTTGGCTGTGTTCTAATTACATACTCGCTGGTGGGCACACCAATTAGCTTGCAAGCTCGTAGAAAGTATAAAGATGGACTTGAGTGGTATATTGCCTGTGAGATATGTATATAAATGTGATAACAGATAATAAATAACATAAGAATTTATGAGCTGTTTTCGCTTTTATCGTATATGGAGATTTATCGTATATTACCTAGAAATTTAAACTGTTGAGTAAATAATTGTAAAGGTTTTATGATTATAAAATCAATATAAGAATAAAAGCTGATTGCGGATCTAATTTGCATGTATTTATAATATACTGTACATACTGGTGCGCAAATTGTTCTGAAAAATTACATAAACCAGTGGACAATATAACACGTCATTTTATTCCTGAAATGTTTCAACCATGGAATATAATCATCTTCAAATGCAATTCATACAAATTATAAGTTAAATTATAAGAAATTATTACTCAATCATGAAATAGGTCGTATAATCTGTGTAATATGTAAAAAGAAAAAGAATTATACTTTAAGTCAAATATATTTTCTTTTTAATGAAATATATTAGAAATGTTTGGCATTCCCATGGACTCACCATTATCGTCAATTAAAGTAGACTTGGTCCTGCAAGATTTAAAAACTCAAGCAATCAACTTTATACCATGGTTTTTATAAATGCATGCAAATTGGATCAGCAGTCATATCTTATCATCCTTTATTCTTATACTTAATTTTAAACTCGATCGATATTACTTTATAAGTAAGATAATGATATAAGGGATTTATAGTTAAATTTGTAATGTAGCTAAATTATTAATGATTACCTTTGCTTGTGGCCATGTTCCATCTAACAAAACTAAGTTATATGCTTTTTGCTCATTGATTCCAACTGGATCTAATGTATCTAGTGCAACAGCTTCAGGTGATGGATATAATAAAATAGTGTTCTTATCATTTAGAATCTCTGTTAGGCCTTTATGCATAGGTAAGGGAAATCGTTTTCCTCTAAAAGAAATAAACAATTATACCTTTGAATCTGTTCAATATGAAGACAACAATTAAGAATAAGTAAAAACCATAAGCTTCTTTACCTATAAATTAGGCACTTTCCTGATTCCAAAGCTAATGCTAGCATTGGTACTGTACGTAAACAACGCTTTGCTTCAGCTGGATGCTGTAAAATTATTATTCTTGATGCTGGATTGAGACGTTGTTTTGGTAAACCTGGGCACCAACATACTTGCACAGGTCTTCTGTGTGAGAATAATACCTACTTTAAACTTGATAGTTTTTAAAATACTAATTTGAAATTAAGTAAAAAATGCTTCTTCTTTTAAATAATTATGTTCTAGTTGCATACAAAATTATTGTCGTACACATTATGACATTTTCTAACCTCACAAAACTTGAGATTTATAAAACTTTATAATTATCTTTGCGATATATAGAAAGCGACAATTTCAACTTTTACATTTGAATTATAAATGATAAAATATGTGTTTTATCGAAAGTTTTATCGAAATCAGCAAAAAGGGTAATTTTTTATAGCTTATATTTGTCCAATTTATAACTTATATATAAATATATATAAATACATATATACATCCCTCCTTGTCATATATAAAAAATTATAGGTGTAGAATATAAGAATATATACATATATATATATTCTATAGATATATTTTTAGTACTTACTTGCATTGTGAACATTTGTCTCTTGTTTCAGGAGGATCAGCTGAAATATTTGCCAGCTCATTCCATACATTATCCTCATTCGTCATGATAAATAATTACCAGAAATATCTTTGATATTTTATGACAATTTTCATACATAATATCGCGATTATATAGTTAGTGTATACAATTTTAATTCAGTTCAAGAAAAATTTGGAGTGCTGATTCAGAGTCCAGTTTTTGCGAAAAATTAAATTTACCAACTCTGTTAAAATTGTATACATTGAATTTTTAACTGATTATATGTAGTTAAATACGACATAATAAAACTTTCTTGAAAAACCATTATTTATTATTACTTCAAAGTCACCGCCACCATGAAGCACTATCGGCGAATAATGGCATGCGCGCGATTAGAATGAGAGCACTGTGTGAACTTTGGAATGTGTTTTATACGAATCTTGCGTATGCGCAATGACACATGATTTTATTCATATTAAGAATTGTTGTAGTTGGCGAGATAATGCGAGATTTTTATAGAAAGGCACAAAGAATTATTTTTTATTTTGATAATCTGAAAAATATATTTCGTTATATATATATTATATATACAGGGTGTCTCACACTCTCCTCCGGGCATTTTGTGGGGACGTAGAATGGGTTGATGTGAACATAAAAGTCCTATACCGTTTTGCGATATTCGCAATAATTATCGAGATATTAATTATAGAAAATTTGTGAATGATCATGCAGGATATGGTAAATGAGTTATAATAGCGACGACTGCCGTCGTGTACTTATACTTTAGCTTAAATTGAACAAAAAAAGTCCTCTATCATTTTCCAAATAATCACATAGATTTTTAATTATTAATTAAAGAAGATGAGTGCATTATCACACAAAATCGTGCAATAATCTTCTTTAATTATTTATTTATTTAATTAATTAATTATTTTGTTCAATTTGACTTAAAGTATAAGTACACGACGGCAGTCGTCGCTACTATAATTTATTTACCATATTCTGCATGATACAAGTTTTCCACAATTAATATCTCGATAATTATTGCGAATATCGCAAAACGGTATAGGACTTTTATGTTCACCTCAACCTGTTCTACGTCCCCACAAAATGCCCGGAGGAAAATGTGACACCCTATACATATATATAGGGTATATTTCAGACCTCCCATACCACCTATTTAAAATAAAGGGATCACATTTTATTAAAAATTCAAAATATTTTTTCACTAAGTCGAGCACGCTCTATTAAATGGTGCTATATTCAACTTCCAGTATTGACCGGAAGTGGGTTGTTTAGACCGGAAGTTTAGTTTTTTAAATGGAATACCCTATTTTTTCGCAGATTCAGATTCTATGGTGAAAAATACGAAACTTATGTTTGAAACATTTTTTCCAAAAATGTGGTCATCGACTTTGAAATGACATTGAAAGTTTGTCAGCTACCAGACCTCTTAAGAACTTCCTAACCGCAGTGCGATAGTCGCCTTCGTATGATTTGACTTTTTAACATACTCCAAGTACTGAAATAAGTACTTCTACTTAAGTATCTTACTTTCAATTCTTCGTGTACTCCAATCACACTCAAAAATTTTTAAAAGTACATTGACTAAGGTTGAAATCGGAACAATAAAATGAACTTTTCAATCAAGCATAATTTTATTATTTAACTTTTCGTTATAGTCGGAATTTAGTTACAAACTTAACATGTAAAAGAATTGATACTTATCTTTTACATAATGGAACTCACATTGAACATTTAGCCTAGACAAGATTTACTAATTGAATAAAAATTATGTACATGTTAAATTTGTTACTAAATAAATGTTAAGTTTGTTACTAAATTCCGACTATAACAAAAAGTTAAATAAAATTATGTTTGATTGAAAAGTTTATTTTATTGTCCCGATTCCAACCTTAGTCAGTCCACTTTTAAAAATTTTTGAAAGTGATTGGAGTACATGAAGAATTGAAAGTAAGATATTTAAATAGAGTACTTATTTCAATACTTGGAGTATGTTAAAAAGTTAAATCATACGAAGGCGACTATCACACTGCGGCTAGGAAGTTTTTAAGAGGTCTGATAGCTGATTAACTTTCAATGTCATTTCAAGGTCGGTAGACATATTTTCAGAAAAAATGTTTCAAACATAAGTTTCGTATTTTTCACCATAGAATCTGAATCTGCAAAAAAAAATAGGATATTCCAATTAAAAAACTAAACTTCCGGTCTAAACAATCAATTTCCAGCCAATACTGGAAGTTGAATATAGCACCATTTAATAGAGCATATTCGACTTAGTAAAAAAATGTTTTGAATTTTTAATAAAATGTTGATCCCTTTATTTTAAATAGGTAGTACGGATGGTTTAAAACACCCTGTCTACACACACACACACACACGCATGCACGCACGCACACACACACACACACGTGTCCGAAACTTTTCTTAACACATATCGTAAAGTAGAACGGATTAAACGGAACAGAAAAGTCAAATACCATTTTGCGAAATTCGCAATAATTTTCAAGTAATTAATTATTTTGTCTCAACAAATTAGCGCTTGGGCCGGCGCGCAACCGTGATACACGCGAATCGCCGCTCGCTGCGTCCCTCCGCCCATAGCTACGCTGTATCTTGTAACTATAGTATGGCTTGTAACTATGGCTACGAGACACATCGTAGCTATGGGCAGAGGGACGCAGCGAGCCGCAATTCGCGTATATCATGATCGCGTACTGCTATCAGTCGCGCGCCGGTTCGAGGACTTATTTGATCAGACAAAATAATTAATTCCTTGAAAATTATTGCGAATTTCGCAAAATGGTATTTGACTTTTCTATTCCGTTTAATCCGTTCTACGTTCCTATGACTTGTGTGAAGAAAGGTTTCGGACACCCTGTATATATATAGGATGTCTCACACTCTCCTCCGGGCATTTTGTGGAGACGTAGAATGGGTTGATGTGAACATAAAAGTCCTATACCGTTTTGCGATATTCGCAATAATAGTCTAGATATTAATTAAAAAAGATTAAGGAAAAACGTACGATAAATGGTAGAGGACGGACCGCTCGAGTCACTGCGCGGCCCAGGAATATGGCGGATGTCGCGCGCGGTGATTGAAAGACAATGCACCACTGCCTATACTTATACTGCTGCGCTCTTACGTCTTGCCGTACCGCACCGAGATAAGAATAGGCAGTGGTGCATTGTCTTCCAATCACCGCGCGCTTTTTTACTGATCCGCGCTGTGACTCGAGCGGTCCGTCCTCTACCATTCAGAAGTGCATTTTTCCTTGATCTTTTTAATATCTTGATTATTATTGTGAATATCGTAAAACGGTATAGGATTTTTATGTTCACATCAACCCATTCTACGTTTCCACAAAATGCGCGGAGGAGAGTGTGATACACCCTATGTGTATGTGTATACATATACAGGGTGTCCCGTATCACTTTCACAATCTCCCGTGAGGACGTAGAGCGGATTGAGATGAACACAAAAGTCCCATACCGTTTTGCGATATTCTCAATAATAACCGAGAAATTAATTAAAGAAGATTGATAAATGATCACGCGCGATATGGTAGATGAGCTACAGTGGCACTGTTTGCTGTTGTATACTTATACATTAAGTCAAACTGAACAAAAAACTGAATGCTCTACCATTTTGCAAATGACCACATCGATTTTTAGATATTAATAAAAGAAAATTTATGCATTGTGGTACACAATCATGTAACAATTTTCTTTAATTAATATCTAAAAATCTATGTGGTTATTTGCAAAATGGTAGAGGACTTTTCATCTACTATATCGCGCGTGATCATTCACCAATCTTCTTTAATTAATTTTTCGGTTATTATTGAAAATATCGCAAAATGGTATAGGACTTTTGTGTTCATTTCAATACGCTCTACGTCCTCACTAGAGATTGTGAAGGTGATACAGGACACTCTATCTATCTATCTATCTATCTATCTATCTATCTATCTATCTATCTATCTATCTATCTATCTATCTATC